AGCCCAGCCGAAACCCTAAACACTAGCTCGCCAACTCAACCCGCCATCCAAATCCCTACTGTTATTGAACCCACCCGCGAGGAAAGGAAAGCCACCCGAGAGAAAAGGCACCGCGAAGCCCGCGAAAGGGACCAAAAAAAAGAAAAAGAAAAACGAGAACAAATTCCTACCGAACAACCCAAACCTAACGAAAATTTTTCTCCTAATTTTGAAGAAAACCACGAAAACAATCCCCTTGAAAACAACCAAGAACCTAACAATAACAACGAGAACGAGAACGGAGAAAGCAGCGAAAAAAATGCTAGTTGGTGAAATATCCCCTTCCCCGATATTTTCCCCGATTGGTTATCACCAATTTTAGGTCTGATAGTCCTATTAATCGTTATTTATCTGCTGGTAAAAATAGTGGGAAAAATTTTTAAGAAATTGTTTGATTAAGTTAGCGGTCGGCTATTGAAATTAATTAAGCAATAATTAACCCTTTTCTAAAATGCCTTTTTCTCGGAACTTGAAACGCACTTCTGACGGGCATTTTTTCTGTGGTGATAATTTATACACGAATTAAAAAAGTGCTTGCGTTTGCCTTATAGATTTAGTTATAAAAGTTTAAGACTTTAAGATATAAATATATAAATAAACATGACCATTGCCAATTTAAAAGAATACGCCCGCTTATCAATGGCAATTAAGAAAGCCCGCCAGGAAGGAAAGAACCCCACTGAATTATTAATCCAAAGGCAAAAGTTAATTATCATCGGGCCGCCTAGAAAAGAGCCTAAATCCCGCACAGAAATTAATCGCAACTATTACCAAAGAAACAAAGAAATTTTACAGGAGCAAGCCACAATTAACAAAGCAAAGAAGCAAGAACAAGAGCAGGAAAGACGAGAGCAAGAAGTAAAAGAATTAGCTGCGAAACTTTACGAAGCCAATAGCATTAAAGTTTTGATGAGTTTTAAACAATACACCGAATTAAAAAAAGGTAAAAAGTTATGGTTGGACTTCTCCCAAACTCTCCAAGATTTAACCGCAGGAGTGGGCGACATAATAAGCATTATGAAGTTGCGAGAAGTGTCCGAAAATCTGATTAGTGATTATTGAGCGACTGCCCGTGGTAAGATTAAAGCAGGCGAGAGCTGAAATCTTTTAGAACCCGAGCAGCAAGCCAAATTAATTAAGTATTGAGGCCGGGAAAAATTTCGTTTGGAACAAGGTTTAGCCGCTAAGTTAGAATGACAAGCCGATTGCGGACAAATCCGGGAGCGAGAAATTGAGCGAGCCAAATTTCACGAGGAAAGAGGCAAACAGGGTTGTTCTTGTTATGATTGCCGAGAAAGAAAAAGTATCCGCCGCGAGGTTAAACAAAGATACGACGAATACTGGAAAGGGGATGAAAAAACCGAAGCACGGGAGGAAGAATGAAGCGATTGTGGTAGTTGTGGGGAATATAAAAAGGTTAGTGTTGATAGTGGACTTTGCCGCAAGTGTGAACGAGAAGCCGAGGAATAAAAAATTTCCGCGGAGTTTTCTGAATTAAAAATAATATAATAAAATTAAAAAATGATAGCATTAAGAAGCAACGTTAATGAAACAAATATCTTGTTTTCCTTTCATTCACCTGTTAAACCAAAAACTTTTCAGGGACTTTTCCCGAAGAAATTTTTATTATCGCTAAATCTTCAGCCATTTAAAACTTCCACTAAATATTTTGTAGTTGGTCGTTGTGCGGGATCAGCATTTCAGCACCTTTTAATCAAATCGCACAAGAGTTGAGGTATCTTGATGTTAAATTCGGGTTGTGGACCCAAGCATATTTGCCAAACGAGTGATTCTTCAGATATATCATGATAAGGTAGTAATCCGGTAAGAATCTCATAAGCCACCATTCCAAAAGAATAAACATCTGATTTTTGCGTGTATTTTTTATTCTGCAAAACCTCCGGAGCGGTATAGCGTAATGATCCATAAATTTTTTCTTTGTTTGTTTCATTCGCCGGTCGGCAAAGTCCCAAGTCAGTAATATAACACTTGTCAAAAGAAGAAACTAATATATTGCCAGGGTGAAAATCTTGATGGATTAATCCTTTATTATGAATAGAATTCAGCCCTTCTGCAATATATAATAAGTAATCAAGTTTATTTTCGAGCGTTAATTCATCATATTTTTTTTGTAAATGATGCTTCAAACTACCCTCCTCTTTATAATCCATAACCATTATATAATCACCCGTCTTAGGATCTCGAGAAAGACCATAACACTTAACAATCTGGTGGTCTAAGTCTGAAGTAAAAGGGCATACTTCAAGAATACTCATTGAATTACTAAATAACTTGTGATAAGAATTGCCGAACAGCCTGTGGCAAAAGACCTCTTGTAAAAAATCAGTGGTCACATTCTGAGAATTTTTTAAAACTTTTAAAACAAATTTATCTTTTTCAAGAAAGTCATGTTGATCTGGTATTTTATTTATTTCATCATAATACAACTCCATCTCCGCCAATAATGCTTTAGTCTCCAAACTTAAATCGTCATCCTCGATCTCATAATCTTTCTCTCTGATTCATTTATTATTTTTGAAATCCCATTTTTTAATTGGACCATCAATTCATTCAGCTTTATAAACCCTGCTAAAACCACCTTCGGCTAGATACTCAATATTAGTGAATTGTTCATAAGGAATTCACTCCAATATTTGCCCATTTCAAGTCGCGTTCGACTGGTGCTCCTGAATCAGTTTATCAATTTCCGATTTACCGCTAGTTCACTTGTCAAAATCTTGTTGAAAATGTTGGGCATTGCAATCTTTACATCATAAAGTGTTAATATTGGGTTGTCAGCACTCCTGACACAGTCCGTTTTTTCTATATCGTTCTTTTAATTCCTGATTAGGAATTAATTTTTCTACCAAAAGTTCTTGCCAGTGAGTTAATTCGGGTATATTAAATTCTCAATCAGTCGGAAAATCCTTTATTTCTTCAATTACATCTATGCTGAGTTTAGCACCATTTTCTACGGCGGCAAGATAGTCATTTCATTCTTTAATTAACTCTTTTTCTTTACCGTGCCTCAACATCCATTCGGGATTTTTTTGCTTAATTAGTTTTAGTCAACGAGCGTAACCAGCAAAATTAATAAACTCTTTGGATTCCAAATCAGCAAGGAATATATTTAATCATTTTTTAGTTCACTCATGAGTAAATCCTTTGATTTTTAATTGGTAAAGAGACTGGTAATCCAATTTTATTCATTGGTCAGTTTGTCGATTGAAGTCAACCTCTTTTTGTTCTCTTTGCGAATCAGACGCAAAGATGGGGGAGATATTCTTCCTATTTCTGTAAGCAATTTGCGATTCACAAGTTGGTTCCTCTGGCTCAGTTAATAATTCGCTAGAGGAAGTGCTTTGCATCTTCTCCTGCTTTTCTATAGCTTTTTCTATTCAACCGGAACCTCATCCGTCAGCCTCCGGACCATCTTCGCTTTCCTCGTCTTTTGTGATATCCTCTTCGCCGTACTCTTCGCTATAAACGGATTTAATTAAATCATATAATTTTTTCACTTTTGCTCCTGGTCTATTTCAGTGAAAACATTTGAGACTTCCAAAATCTTCCAAATTTAGTAAATATTCAAGGCCTTCGTCAACATCTGTAGCTTCAATGCTTAAAGCATGTAATCATTCAAGGTTCTTCAATGCTTCTAAATCACCAACAAAAGCGATTATAAATACCTAGTTTAATTCTTTCTCTGTTATTCGTACCTAAATATAGATTAGTTAAATTAATTAAATTGC